TGGTTTTGAATTGCATTTCTCTAATGGCCAATGATGATGAGCTTTTCTTCATATGTTTACTTTAAGTTCCGGGATACATGTGCAGAACATGCAGGTTTGTTACATAGGTATACATGTGCTATAGTGGTTTGCTGCACCTATCAACACATTATCTAGGTTTTAAGACCTGCATACATTAGGTAGTTGTCCTAATGTTCTCCCTCCCCTTGCCTCCCACCCCTCGACAGGCCCTAGTGTGTGTTTTTCCCCTCCCTGTGTCCATGTGTTCAAATTTTTCAGCTCCCACTTATGAGTGAAAACAGGCAGTGTTTGGTTTTCTCTTCCTGTTTTAGTTTGCTGAGGATGATGGCTTCCAGCTTCATCCGTGTCCCTGCAAAGATCATGATCTCATTCTTTTTTTATGGCTGCATAGTATTCCATGGTGTATGTGTACCACATTTTCTTTATGCAGTTTAACATTGATGGGCATTTGGGTTGAGTCCATCTCTTTGCTATTGCAAATAGTACTGCAATAAACATACATGTGCATGTGTCTTTGTAGTAGAATGATTTATATTCATTTGGGTATATACCCAGTAATGGGATTGCTAGGTCAAATGATATTTCCGGTTCTAGGTCCTTGAGGAATTGCCCCACTGTCTTCAAAACTGTTGAACTAATTTACACTTCCACCAACAGTGTAAAAGCACTACTATTTCTTCACAGCCTCACCAGCATCTATTGTTTCTTGACTTTTTAACAACACCATTCTGACTAACTTGAGATGGTAGCTCACTGTGGTTTTGGTTTGCATTTCTTAATGATCACCGATGTTGAGCTTTTTTTCATGTTTTTTGGCCACATAAATATCTTCTTTTGAGAAGTGTCTGTTCATATCCTTTGCCCACTTTTTGATGGGATGAGAGGCTGGTTCAATATATGCAAATCAATAAATGTAATCCATCACATAAACAGAACCAATGACAAAAACCACATGATTATCTCAATAGATGCAGAAAAGGTCTTCAGTGAAATTCAACATCCATTCACGTTAAAAACTATCAATAAAGTAGGTATTGATGAAACACATCTCAAAATAATAAGAGCTATTTATGAAAAATCCATAGCCAATATCATACTGAATCGGAAAAAGCTGGAAACATTCCCTTTAAAAACTGGCACAAGACAAGGATGCCCTCTCTCACCACTCCTATTCAGCATAGTGTTGGAATTTCTGGCCAGAGCAATCAGACAAGAGAAAGAAATAAAGGGTATTTGAATAGGAAGACAGGAAGTCAAATTGTCTCTGCAAATGACATGATTCTATATTTAGAAAACCCAATCATCTCAGCCCCCAAACTCTTTAAACTGATAAGCAACTTCAGCAAGGTCTCAGGATACAAAATCAATGTGCAAAAATCACAAGCATTCCTATATACCATCAATAGACAAGCAGAGAGCAAAATCATGAATGAACTCCCATTCACAATTGCTATAAAGAGAATAAAATACCTAGGAATACAGCTTACAAAGGTTATGAAAGACCTCTTCAAGAAGAACTGCAAGCCACTAATCAAAGAAACAGGATAGGACACAAACAAATGGAAAAACATTCCATACTCATGGATAGGAAGACTCATTATCATGAAAATGGCCGTACTGCTGAAAGTAATTTGTAGATTCAATGCTGTTCCCATCAAAAATATCATTGACATCTTCACAGAATTAGAAAAAAACTACTTTAAATTTCATATGAAACCAGGAAAGAGCACATATAGCCAAGACAATTCTAAGCAAAAAGAACAAAGCTGGAGGCATCACCCTACCTGACTTCAAACTATACTATAAGGTTACAGTAACCAAAACAACATGTACTGCTACCAAAACAGACATATAGGCCAATGGAATAGAACGGAGACCTCAGAAACAACACCACACTTCTACAAGCATCTGATCTTCAACAAGCCTGACAAAAACAAGCAATGTGGAAAGGATTCCCTATTTAATAAATGGTGCCGGGGAAACTGGTTAGCCATACACAGAAAACTGAAACTGAGCTCCTTCCTTACACCTTATACAAAAATTAACTCAAGATGGATTAAAGACTTAAATGTAAAACCCCAAACCATAAAAACCCTAGAAGAAAACCTAGACAATACCATTCAGGAAATAGGCATGGGCAAAGACTTCATGACAAAAACTCCAAAAGCAATTGCAACCAAAGCCAAAATTGACAAATGGGATATAACTAAACTAAAGAGCTTCTGCACAGCAAAAGAAACTAACATCAGAGTAAACAGGCAAACTATAGAATGGGAGAAAAATTTGGCAATCTACCCATCTGACAAAGGTCTAATATTGAGAATCTATAAGTAACTTAAACAAATTTACAAGATAATTGGCATTTATATTAATAATTATATAATATAATATACTTTTATCATACAAAGCATTTTAAAGTGAATTTAGAATATTATAAACAGATATTAAATGAAAAATAAGTCTTACCTCTGATGAAAAATTATTTTAATTTTTTTACTTGTGTTTCTTTAATTTTGAGTAAAGGTGACCACTTGTTGCCTATAGGTGGGAACTGAACAATGAGATCACTTGGACTCAGGAAGGGGAACATCACACACCGGGGCCTATCATGGGGAGGGGGGAGGGGGGAGGGATTGCATTGGGAGTTATACCTGATGTAAATGACGAGTTGATGGGTGCTGATGAGTTGATGGGTGCAGCACACCAACATGGCACAAGTATACATATGTAACAAACCTGCACGTTATGCACATGTACCCTAGAACTTAAAGTATAATAATAATAAATAAATTAAAAATATATATATTTGCATCCCGTTTTTGCTGTAAAGGGCATCTTACATAATTTCTGAATTCATTTATAATATTCTTGGAAATAAAGAAATATAAAATAGGCCAAAAAAGAAAAAAAAGACAAATCTGTAACTATTCTGATAAAAGTGTATCATTGTTATGCATAATATAGAATAATCATTTTGCTCTCCTTCCTTTTGGGTTGGCTGCTGAGAAGATACAAGTAAATAGAGACCACAGCCCCAACAGGTTCACATTCAAGTTAGAGAAAATGGCCATGTGAATTAACACTTACAGTACAAGAGATCAATGATATAAACAGAAGAATATACAAAAAGTCATGGAAATCTACAGTTGGGAGCAGTTGATTTGGGAGAGAAAAACTTAAAGAAATGAATTGAATCTTTAACTGTAAATAGGAGTTCAAAAATAAAACATGGTGAGCAGGTGAACATCAGAGAGCCTCTTCTCTTCAGGCCATCCCAAGCATGCATGGAAAACAGTACATGTGCAGGAGCAGCTTGAGAAAACATTGCAGTATGTCCCGGTACTTAACTAGGACCCCATGGGATAATATACTCAGGAAGGGGAAAGATCTAGAGATTAAATATGCCCAGAGAAGATAAGAAAATTATTTACGATTCAAGAACTATCCATATTATTAGTTATGAGAGTAAAACACTTATAATTTTAGTAATAAGATAATAGAGTTTCCTTCATTCTCAAATAAATAAAAATCCTCCTAATATAGGCTATTAACATACACCAGATACATATGCCATTCAAAAATACAATGCATGTTTCTCTTGGCACTCACCTGTTGGTAGAGGTTTTCCCAGTAATCTTGGGTCATTAGCCTAAACAAGGCTAAGAAGGCCCAGCTGAAAGTGTCAAAGCTCGTGTAGCCATAATCAGGGTTTCTGCCAATTTTCATACAGGTGTACCCCTCTGGACATTGGCTACACATGAAAAAGAACATTATAGGTGAGAGTGTCTTCAGGACACAAGCTAAATAGCCGTAGTGAAAAGTTACAAATTCAAGGTTTCTTCTATAGGGGGACAACATTGAATAATGATTAAGAATACATGATTTGGAGCCAGGACGAACTGGTTTTGAATCACACTCTACTACTGACTACTTATAGTGACTTTACCAAATTCTTCAAGGCACAAGTCTGTCTGTGAAAATAGGATAATAACATCTACCTCAAGAAAATAAGATTTGTAATAAGTTTAAATAAGATAATGTGTACAAATTACTTAGCTTACTTCCTGCACATAGAAAGTATTTAATAAACCATAGCTGCCATTAGCATTATCATCATTAAAACATGGAAACTTTCAATAGATGTTTTGTAATAGTTCTTGGATCAGTAAATAATGATACGTAGGCTGCTACCAAAGCTCTTTCTTTCTGTATAATTCTTGGAATGGATTAGAATCAATAATAGTCAAAATATAGTAATTATCTAAGTTCATAAAAATTTGTAGCTTTAAGACTTTTTTCTTTCTAAAATTGGTGGACTGGTTTTTCCTGATGCCATTAAATAAATACAATACTCTGAGATTCTTCTGGGAACAGCAACCTTATCCGGTTTATTCCTATGTTTCCAGTGTACACAGAGACTGATGAAGAGATATCTGCATAGGGGGAAAAGCAAGAGCTAATGCAGCTAACGCTACAAAATGAAGTTGGTGTAAGAGAGAAGCAGCAATATGGACAGTTGGATATATACAATATTCTTATATATACAATATTTTTAAAATATATGTACCCAAGTCCAAGGAATACCTTTGCTTAGAGTTGCCAAAACACAACATTCAGTCACCTATGAGTCACATTTAATTGGAGAATGAGTGGAACTTGGGAGTAGAAAGAAAAATTGATTTTGTGACTCTTCTTTTTCCAGAAAGAAGAAAGACCTGAAACTATCCAACCAACTTTTGGTGTTTTCTAGAAGTAACATTTTCTACCTTCTTAAGATTTATGTGACTTCTCTCTTGTGTTAATTCAAACACTATTTCAAAGTCTTGCTTTCAAGAGTATGCATTAACTGTGAACATTTTAAAGACTGGATTTGTTGTGGGACAGAATGAGACAAATAAAACCATGAAATATATAAAAAGCAATATAGAATCAAAGACTAATTTGCAAACTGATTGAACATTCTTTTCTTTCTCTTTCAGCCTTTAGACTAAAGAGAAAACAAATATTACATACCCTGAATCTGTGCTGAAACCACAAAGGAGAGCATCTTTGGATCCCTCCAAGTAATAAAAGTATTCTGTTGAAGAAGAATGTGAACAGTTATAACATTACAGAGTTTAATCTGTGATTATGATAAAGCAGGCAAATCAATTGATATAGACAATTATCTAGAAATTCAGGCCTGGAACCAGGCAACATGCATCCATTTGTTTACTATTTTCTCATATATTCTCCCTCAAATATTTATTTCTAATATCTTATAGGCTAGGCAATAAATATGACAATAAACATGATGAATAAAATCATTAGTTTTATGAGGCCTCCTTTATGTTTAGGTGAGGGTGGAGGTTGTGGTTGGATAAAAACTTAAGTAAATAAATAAATATACAAGATATTTTCAGATAGTAATAAATGATCTAAAGAAAATAAATTAAGGCAATGTGGTAGGCTGAAGTCAGGGAAGGTCTTTCTAAGGAGATGATATTTAAACTAAGATCTAAATGTGACAAGGAAGACAGCCATGAAAAGACTGGTGAAGAGCTATTTGGGCTGGGGGAAGAGCAAGAGCTAAAGTCCTAAGGCAGAGATGAAGTTGGTATGTGGAAAACCCAGCAAGATGTGGCTACAGTGTAGTGTGGCTACAGTGTGGTGAGAGGGAGGATTGTGATGGCAGAGGTAGGCAGGGGCCAGATCATGTCAGAATTTGCATATCATTGAAATGAGTTTGGATTTTAAGTATGATTAAAGGTACAGTCAGGTGTCACATAATGACTGTGATACAATCTGAGAAATGCATCATTAGGACGTTTCATCCTTGTGCAAACCTCCTAGGGTGCACTTACACAAACCTAGATGGTATAGGCTACCATAAACCTAGGCTATGTGGTATAGCCTATTGTTCCTGGGCTGCAAACCTGTAGAGTGGGCTACTGTACTCAATACTGTAGGCAACTGTTATACAACGGAAAGTGTGTATCTAAACACAGAAAAGGTACAGTAAAAAATACAGTATTAGAATCTTATGAGATCATCATTATATATGTGGTCCACTATTGACTAAAACATTGTTATGTGGTACATCAATGTAATAGAAGTGGGAAATAGAAATATGGGATATTACTGACATTTAAAAATGTCACTGTGGTTACTCTGTGGGCAGTGGGCTATAGAGAAGCAGGTGTGGAGGCAAGGAGACCAGTTAGGTGACAATAGTGAGACAGGACATGGCTACAACTCAGAGAATAGCTGTGGACGTAGAGAGAAGGGGATGAAAGGAGAATGGACAGGAACCTCTGATGGAGAGCATGCAGGGTGTGTGCAAAAGAGAAGACACAGGATCTATCAGCCGGGGAGTTGTTAGTGCCTATTGCTGAGTAGAGGAAAACTGCAGCAAGAGGAGGTCTGGAGAAAAACCAGGAGTTCTGTTTCAGCCATGCTTTGTTTGGGATGATTGTTGGGTATTACATTTTTCAAGTAAGCAGCTGGGTTGATATGAGATTCTGGACATCAGTAGAGCTATCAAGGCTGGAAATATAAAGATGAGAGTTATCATCTAATATACAACTATCAAGGCCATGAGGATTGATGAATTTACCTGGAGAGAAAGTTTGTAGCTAGAAAAGGAAAAGGAAGGGAAGAGAAGGGAAAATAGGGGAATAGAGGAGAAGGAAGGGGGTAGGGAGGGAAGAGGAGGAAATGGGAGTTGAGGGAAAGGGAAGAGCAGGAAGAGAGCCCCTGACTGAGTCCCAAAATACTCCATAAGAGGCAGACTCAGTAAGGCAGTATATAAATGAATAAAATTTGTTTTCTGAACTTCTCTTACTTTTCATTCACCAGTCCATACTTATTTAGGACCTACTAATTCTAGGTGTTGAGGAGATGACAATGTAATCAATGTATATTTTCCATTTTTCACCTTTCATGTTACCCTTTGTGCTAATTTTTAGTAGTAAAAGTTCTCATCAACTCTTCTGTCATTTGCTGTTAAGGCTTGTTGCTAAGACTGGAGGCAGATCTATCCTTTTTTTTAATTATTATTATACTAAGTTCTAGGGTACATGTGCACAACCTGCAGGTTTGTTACATATGTATACTTGTGCAAATTATATGTTGCACATGTTGGTGTGCTGCACCCATCAACTCGTCATTTACATCAGGTAGATCTATCCTTGTATAGTAAACGTTTAAGTGACTAAAACACCTTTTGTCATCTCTCTTAAATATCTATTCTACTTAATAAGAACTTGACTTCCTATTTTACTCAGGTCAAATAAAAAATCTGATTATTAGGAGACTTTTGGAGTAATCATGGAAGAAAGACTATGAAATCAGATATTCTTGGATTTGAATGTTGCTTCTATCCCTTCTTAAGTAAGTGAATTATCTTTAAGCCATTAAGCCTTAGCTGCTGCATCTGTAAAATATGTATAAGAATACCTACTTTATAAAGTTGTTAAATAGTATAAATAGGATATTGCATGTAAACCACTTGATACTGTGATCCACACTTTCTGTACTAGCTGCTCAAAAACGGGAGTTATTATAATTAAACTAGTATACAATTTGAGATAATACTATTGATTGACTTACACATCATCATTTTATCTTACTTAGAAGACACAGATAAAACAATAAAAGATCATAGTTTGAGGTGCAAATGTAGGTGAAAATGTGCATGAAAAGCTTTCCTGAAAACACTCCTGAACCTTGGGAAGGATGGGCCTGGTAGAGTGAGTATGGGGGAGGATAAGATGCAATTTTGCATACATAAACATCCGAAGTATTTTATTAAGGATGGATTACTTTAGGATTATCCTTTAAACTAACTCTGGTTCATGTTTATCAACCACTGAGGAGCCAAATTATATGAATGGGCTCTGGAGCTGTCTGTATTAGCACACTGCTGCACTACTGTATTTAACACAGTACAAGAATGATGAAAGGTAAAGCAATGCAAGTAGTTCACTCTAGGTTTCTAGAAAACTTTACAATAATTTCTAAACAACTAGACATTAAATTATTAAGATGGTTGGCTTCAAGAAGATTTAAGGTTAATGTCTTTTAAAAAGGGAAAAAATGAATGCAAAGAATGAAATATTGCTTGTGCACATTCAAAAGTGGGATGATTCTGAAAGATAAAGAATGAATCATGGCCGGGCGCCATGGCTCACGCCTGTAATCCCAGCACTTTGGGAGGCCGAGGCGGGTGGATCACGAGGTCAGGAGATCGAGACCATCCTGGCTAACACGGTGAAACCCCGTCTCTACTAAAAATACAAAAAATTAGCCGGGCATGGTGGCGGGCTCCTGTAGTCCCAGCTACTCGGGAGGGTGAAGTGGGAGAATTGTTTGAACCTGGGAGGTGGAAGCTGCAGTAAGCCGAGATCGCACCACTGAACCCCAGCCTGGGTGACAGAGTGAGATCCTGTCTCAAAAAAAAAAAAAAAAAAAAAAGGTCGGGCGCGGTGGCTCACGCCTGTAATCCCAGCACTTTGGGAGGCCGAGGCGGGCAGATCACGAGGTCAGGAGATCGAGACCATTCCTGGCTAACATGGTGAAACCCTGTCTCTACTATAAATACAAAAAACTAGCTGGGTGTGGTGGTGCGCGCCTGTAGTCCCAGCTACTCGGGAGGCTGAGGCAGGAGAATGGCGTGAACCCGGGAGGCGGAGCTTGCAGTGAGCTGAGATCAGGCCACTGCACTCCAGCCTGGGTGACAGAGGGACACTCCGTCTAAAAAAAAAAAAAAAAAAAAAGAAGAAGATGAATCATGACTCAGTAATTCCACTTATTAGGTATATACTGAGAACTGAAAATGTATTTCCACAAAAACTTGTACATGAATGTTTACAGCAACATTATTCATTACAATTACAACCAAAAGATGGAAATAACCCAAATGTCCATCAACTGATGAATGTATAAACAAAATATGGCATATACATACAATGAAATATCATTTAGCAATAAAAAAATGAAGCATAGATACATACTATACCATGGATACATTTTGAAAACATTATGCTAGGTGAAAGAAGACAGTCACAAAAAGCCACATGTTATATGATTCTATTTATGTTAAATCTACAGAGTGGGTAAATCCATAGGGAAAGAAAGTAGATAGTGGTTGCCAGGGACTGGGGGAAAAGGGAAATGGGGAATGACTACTAATGGGCCCAGGGTTTCTTAATGGGAAAGATGAAAATATTTAAAATTAGATAGTGGTGATCGTTGCACAACTCTGAATATAGTTTTTTAAAAAAAGAGTTGTACAAGTTTAAAAAGAGGAATTTTGTGGCATGTAAATTATTCCTCAATAAACCTAGTTTTAAAAGGGAATGCAGAATAATGGCAAAGGTTGTGGGTGGGGGTAAATAAATGCCAACTTCCCACTAAAATACATATGGGGAGAATGAAAATTGATATAACAAAAATATAGAATTGATATTAAATCTAATGAAGATTCTAGGTGAATTTTTTTTAATTAATTTTCAAGATTAATGTAGCAAAATGGAAAAAAAGACAACTTATGACAATTGTGTATGGCTTGGGCTTATTTGCCCAACCAAGGGCAAATAATGCAACTCTGAGAAAACTAGTGCAAGGGATCAGGTCTGGGCAGAGGGCCTGCACATGATACTCTACGCTCTGGCAAATGTGGTTCTCACAAGAAAGCAGCTGTAGATGAAGAAGATAGGAAAAGTCCTGTTAGCAGTGAAGACCAACATTGTGTTTTTTTCAAAACTTTCTCTATTAAATGTCAAATATTAGAAAAATAGGAGGAAGAGAATATCCTATTTTAGCCCAATATAACCACAGTATATTTCTCCATAATACCGCACATTTAGCTACACACTGTGCACATGAACCCCATTTTCATGTGTAGCAGCATAAAAGAGTGTTTGATGAGCATCAAAGTAGATAGCAACACCAAAGGAAATCTACAAATTGTATGTTTTTCAGCAGGAGATGAGACAGTGAGTTAATTTATTTGATGGTGAATTTTGAAAGACATTTCGGAAAATACTTTGCTATAGGCACCAGAAAATGCTTTTAGATTATGCTCAGGTTCTCTATGTAGGTTGCCTTTACAATTATAATTCTTTGATCTTTTAAAGATTGCCAATTCATTTGCCTTAGTACTTTCTCATGATCTATCAACCAACTCAGGTTCTTGTCACTCTTTATATAGCTTAAATCCATGGGCATTCATTATCATCAGTCCCTAACCTGACAGAACCACAATCTACACATAATCTAGCATCTGTCTTTTCCATGCTGGCTACCAAATGGCTGAATGTTGGTGGAGAACCTCTCACAACCAAATGAATGGTTATATTTTAAGTAATCTCAAAACATCAAATTTGCACTCAAAATACACTGAATTTCTCATTCCCTGAGATGACCATATATATAATGCATTCTTGTCAAATATTCTGTAGAATTTTCTCTTCCTCATTTGCACACTCAGGCAATGATCCCATCTTATACTTTGAGGAAATAAAAACCATTGGGTTTGAACTCAATCATCTTTTGATAACTCTGCAGTCTTCCCTTCTGTCTTTCCTCCTGTTTTAGTGGAGCTGTCTCTCTCTTTTACTCTTTCACTTTCACGAGGACTTGACTTCTCCCTCTCTCTCCTGAATTGACTCATATATAACTACTCATTCATGATCACTACAAAACATCCCTACAAAAATCTGTATTTTAAAAAAAAAATGCCAGCCATTGCCCCATTATTCTGCTTCCCTTTATATCCAGATTTCTTGGGAGAATTGTCTACACATATTACCTTCTTTCTGACCTCTTATTTTCACCCCTGTATGCACCTTATTCTGACCTTGAACCCTTACCACTTCCCCAAATTTTCTCAAGAAATTCTCTGATGACTTCCCTGTTACTTAACCTAATGCGTATTTCTTTCTTCATCATCCTTAATCCTTGATCTTGCAGCATGACTCCACACAAGCACATCTGTTTCTACAATATATTTTCTTCTCTTGGCTTCATTATTTATATCTTTGCTTCTTACTTTATTGGCAGCTCTTTCTCTGTGTTCTTTTCTGGGTCCTCTTTTCTACCTGAATTCTAAATGTCAGAGTTGTAGATCTCAGGACCAGATTGCTTTAAATACCAAGTCTCCCATTCTCTACCCACTTAAAAACATCAGGGATGTTCAGAGCTAGAGGGACGTGTGTGTGAGTATGTGTGTGTCTTTTCTTTTTGCTGATTGCTCTGGAATTTATCTCCAAACTCAGCAGACCCTCAGATTTCTATGCTTAAATCTCCAATTCTCTATATTATATATCCACCTGGACATCTCGAAGGCATCTCATTTTAATTTTAGCTAGCTAATAGTGACCTTCCTCTACAAACATGTCCACCATTTCCTCCTTAACCATCACCACCCATCCAGTTATTGCAGCCAGAAACTGAGAAGTCATCCTCGATGCTTCCTGTCTTCTTTAATCCATCAGCAAGCTCTACAGACTTTGTGTGTCGAGCTCATCTTTTTTTCCTTCATTTCTCTGCCATCAGAGAAAATGAAACCTTCATTTTCTCTTGCCTAGATGAGAGAAGCCACCTTCAACTTGTCTTTCTTATTCCCATCTACCATCTACCCTTGCTCAATCAGTTGTCCACAAGACAGACAGCAATAAAAACTACTGCATTTAAAATAAAATACAAGCTCTTTTCCATGGGCTGAAATGTCCTGCACGATATGACTCCTGTTTTTCTGCTACTTTCTCTGTTGCTATTCTTCCTTTCTCTTAATAAACTATGCTGCTGCTTTTCCATTCTTTAAACTCATACCCTCCCTTTATTCAGGACCTTTGGCCATGCTATTCCTCCTAACTGAAGCAGCACCCTCCACACATAGACTCACACCCACACTTACACTATTTTATGGCTTCTTACTATCTTTTAGATCTCAGCTTAAATGCCATCACCTCAGAGATGTCTTCTCATCTAGTTGATATCTCAGCACCTGAGACTCACTTCCTTTGCATGGCATTTATTATAACTTGAGATACTTTTAATTTATTTGTCTGTTCCCTCAAACATTTTTTCATTCCCACTAGATGGTAAGCTCTGTGAAAGCAAGGGCTGAGGCTATTGTTTCTTGCTATAGCACAGGGAAACCATGTAATAAACACACCAATAAACGAAAGTTTGAATCAATTATGCAGTCAAGAAAGGCTTCTATAACATAGAAAACAGAAAGTAAAATTCAGACTTGATTTAAACACCTCTTTGCTAAAACTACATTTTAGAAGATAATAAAGAATAATGTACAGATTTGGAAGAGAGGATTGTGGTATAAGATTCATTATTAGCTAATTGTCATTTATTCATGTTTAAACACAATA